ATTATAGGAATCTAATTTTTTCCTCGGTACTTACTCTGTAATTGAAAAAAAAAAACATTGATTAAAATAAGCCTTAATAAGATCTATATTAATTAATAGAGTAAACGGCATTAAGAAAAATAAATTACTTCAGTCATGTAAAAAGCTACGTATCATTAAATTAAAAGGAAGATTAACAATCTTTAAGCTCCTCGAATTATATATTGCATTATACATTGTAAAAAATAGTTTCGTTACATTATTTTTCTTAAAATATAAAATTAGGTGAAATGCTTAATTATCGCTTTCTATTCTGAATAGTTTACCAGCTATTCAAGGCCTACCTACCCGTTTACCTAGTTGTTAATCGAAAGAAAAAATTATTACAAAAATCATGTTCGTTGGAAACTTTTTTTCACTTATAATTTCTAATTATGACTAATAAATAATTACTTTACACATTTTACCGGAGAGTTCGAAAATTTCAATTAATTATTAATCCTCAAGCATTTCTCTACCGTATAAATGATCCACTTTACGCCCGTATTATCGGTTCTTTTTATCCAACGCGGTCTTTATGCTATCTTAATCAAGCGAGAATAATTTTATTTGCGATAACGCATATCTGCAAGACGAGAATTCGTTAAAAAATCGTAGAGTTAAATTAATGAAATAGCCAGGATCGAGCAACTGATTTAAGAAAAAGTGATGAAAGGCGATAGCTAGTTACATCCCCCCTGACACACGCAACTTTCTTAATCTCGGATTTTTTACGATAGAGCATACGACTCACTCGCGCCACATATAAATTATAATTTACAAATTGTAAATCGATGAGATGCCGTGGGAGCGACACTGGAGAAAAGAAAAGAGTCGCCCTTGAAGACAAACGGCATCTAGGCATCGAATGCGTTTGTTGAGAGAGAGAGAGAGAGAGAGAGAGAGAGACGCACAGCTGACCTCTCGGTCGATCCTCGAAAGTAATCACGACACGCCCTGGAGACACATGTCAATCGGTGAAACGAATTGAAAAAAGAGTTCCAGAAATCGAGTTCAGCTACGGCGCGTCGCATCTATCGCCTCGGTTCCTCTTGCGCAGCGCCGTGCGTGCGCACGCACATACTCACCGCGAGAAAGAAAGCCGGGTGTGCGAGCGGCAAGGAGGGAGACGAAGAGAAAAGAAAAAGCAGTCCGATCGTCGGTAGCCCGAGCTCGCAACATGAGTTTTTAAGCAAAAAGGGGGCAGAGCGCGTCCGGCGCAGTGACCTACTATCGTCGCTCCACCGGACTCTTCTCTCTCTCTCTCTCTCTCTCTCTCTCTCTCTCTCTCTCTTTGGGCAGGTCTTGAATACCGTCCATCTACGTTGTGGGCTCGCCAACTGCACCGGCACCGAAATTACCTGCAGCCAAGCGATTCAAGCCTTTATCTCTCTTTTCCTCGTGGAAGGATGCACGCGCGCGCGTCCTTGCACACGTCACCCTTCGCTAACTTTGCCTCGGTTATGGGGGAGGCCAAGCGAATTCGGCATCGGTACCGTTTCCCTCCACTTTACATCCAAGGTAGCTTCTCGCTTTCCTGTTCCCTATTACCATGATATTCGCTATTTTCAATTCGGTATGTTATCCTCTCCATGATTAATGGAATATTAATGCCCAGTTTGGTATCCGAAAAGATCCGCCGGCCGTTTTGTACGGGATTTTTAACATTTCTTAATATTCTACGAGTTACTTTTGTTCTTATTTGATTATTGTGTTATTTGAATCGTTTGATCGGTAATTTCGCGTAGATTCGATTCCGTAATTTTGGTGTAACTAAAGTAAACACGACGTGCCATAAGTAGAATATTTTTATTTAAATTTTTTTATTTTGTTTTCAATACGTAATTTAATCGTGATATAATATGTCCGATTAGATATATTTGTTAAATAACGCATAAGTAGATGTTTAAATATAAAATAGTTCATGTACATTGTCAAGTTTTATCCAATTTCTTAAGACAATATAAATTATGAACTCTTAGTGATAATAGAAGGAAACATTATTTAGATAAGAATAGATTATTTAATAGATTTAATAGAGTAATACATTATAATAGAAAGAAAGATAATGTATTTGAGAAACGAAAATAATTAAAAATGTTATATAGTCTCGTTGACCAATTTCTAATAATTGATCTTATGATAAAACAATCAACGACAAAAATGTTTATAAAAATTATAACATTTTTGATGATTTTCAAGAGGAAAATTAAGAAAAAGTTTATATAAATTATTGTTACGTAAATAATCAGAAGATCTATTTGTAAATTTAAATTTTGTAATCTGACCTTGATTGTTATTTAAGCCAATATGAATTTAAATATCAAAAATCATTGGTATAATATTTTGCAATAAAAAAAAGCTTCATTAAAGATTATCAAGCTTCTATGAAATTGAATTAATAAGCTACACATATAGCATTATTATATTTTAAAAAATTATATTGTTAATAATTTTTTAGATTCTTTAGTTATTAATATTGGTAAGATTTTTCCCATTTTTTTACTTTTATCTATATATAATATTATTTGTCAAAACAATTTTTAAAAAGTAATATCTAACATTATTTATTTAAGGTAAAATCTCAATAAAGTGTAGAATATTTTACGGAATAATCGATTTTTTGACACCTGTCAATAATGTAAAGTAGGTATTAATAAGCGTTAATTGTTGAATAAGCCACAAAATTACAATCTTTCAAGCGAAAAACTGTTTATTTTAAACGTATTTCAATTCAAGCCTTATTTATTTTCATTTTGTTTTCAAGTATGAGTGGTAGGACATTAATGTAATAACATTGGATGATTTTACATGCGTAAAATTTTTAAATATTATTTTTAAAATATATTGAAATACTTTTAATCTGCTTAAACTTTAATACCAGTTTTTTTTTTTATGCAAACTAGCTTCTTACGAATTCAACAATATATTTTACATACACATTTAGATGAAATGATTCCACGTATATATATCTATATATATATATATATATATATATATATATATATATATTTTTTAACATATTTAATCGGTATAAATTTCTTAGTAAAAAGTTTATTTTTCAGGATTTTATTAAATACAGATTCAAAACTAATTTTTGTAGAACAGAGAGATAAGAATTAAAATACTATTAATACTTGGTTGAATTGAATATTTATCATTTGTTTGTTTGCTAATATTATTATAATAAAATCTTTTTTATTGTCGACAACAAAGTGCAAACATTCTGTCAATAAACATATAATTTTTAAGGAATTCTAGTTAATTATGAAAACTTGAAATTGTGAAAAATGATTAACGTTTCAACTATATATTTATCTACTTCTTAGAAAACTTATAAGAAATAAGAAATATTTGATTTTGTCATTAACGTAATATCGATAAAAAAATACACATTATTTTAACATTTTTGCAAAAGTTTGTACGAATACGCTACATCATTTGACATTTCAAACTGATATTATTGTTTTAGTTATAAAATAAAAATGTTATTCGGTTAATCTATTATCCCATACCATAATGAATAACAACAAATTTAACAATCCTAATCCAATCGAATTATGCATAATGTATTCTTTACATTATTATATACTGGACTTTTAGCTTTTAAGATTAAAAAAACAATAAATAAACCAGGCAATTAGGGATCGATTTCCTGAATAAATTGTTGATATTATGCATCATAAAACATTTCATTCGCTATTGTTATTGTGAAGTGCACGTACTTTAATTATTATATTTACAAATAGCGTTTACTTAACCCATGGTATCGCTGTTCCTTCAAATCCTATAATTTGATAAATGTTTGATAATAAAAATTATTTCTTATTTATTTATAGCATCATCAGTTTTTTTTTTTGATGTTGTACTTATTCCATAGAAGCACATAAACAATTTATAGCTCTCAGAATTGGAAATTGAATTTGAGTCGAATAAAATATATAATGACCAATAAGTTCTTTCGAATAAAATGTAAATTTTTATCCTAACAAATGGGTGAAATGTTGATATTTTCCTAATAATTGATAGCCTATAATTTTACTACTTCATAATATTCAGCATAATACAGCATTTTTTGTACTTATTCTTTGAAACTTCAAGAATTAGTGGTTTCTTGAGATTATTTTACTTTGTGCTCGCGATTCAATAATTTTTTGTCTAATATTACTGTAAAACGATGTTCAGGTACTATGAGGTAGCAATTTGTTATTAATTCTTCACGGGTGTTTGCTTTTATTTTCCGATACTTACAATACGACCTACGACCATTTAATGATTTATGGAGCTTTCGGATAAATCAATAGACTATTAAATTAATTACACTTACGTTATACAATTATGATTTTAAAATTTTCTAAGTTTTGAATTGCCATTAATAATAATGAATTACGGTTTCACTATTGATTTATTTAGCAAATATTGGAAATGTGTTTTTTTTCTGAATTCCTAATCTCGAATAAAATATTAATTATTAATTAGTATAAGATAAGCTTTTTAATTATAATTAGCTTAGTAGAAAAATCATTAACAAGCACGATGTTATTTTCAACTGCAATTTTGTCATTGATTGATCGAGTCATTAATTTACAAATAATCATTTAATGACAATATTTTGTATCTAATTTATTTACTGTAATACTGTGCGTCTATTTGATTAGTTACCGTATTTTCTGAGAATATTTATCAACGTATATTGGCAGATATTATGAAAATTTACGTTATAAGTAATAATTTGAAAGATGTTTGTCAACTTGCTTTGTTTGTTGTTGTTGTTGTTGTTTTTTTTTTTTTTTTTTTTTTTTTTTTTTTTTTTTAGTTCATTTTGTTTTGTCAAATTTGTCCTGGATCTGGACTAAATCGACTTACATACACATGATTAGCGAATAAATAGTTTTTGTGGATAAACCATAGAAGGAATATAATCAAGGGCATGCATGGTGTCGGGCAAACGATCGTTCTATGAAATAATCATTAGTACTCACTGTCAATAAAAGCAATGGCAGCAACAACGACAAGGTCGTCGTCTTCCGTAAACTCCTCCGCGTCCTGTCCATCGCCTGTGAGTTTTTTCCGCTCTGCAATTCAGAATAAGAGAGAACAATCAAAATCACTGATTCCTTGCCTCAATACGAAATTTATTATACATTTATATATTTTGTTCTTAGACGAAGAGATTCTCATTTGAATGACAAAACTCTTCTAGGCATATATAAATATATATGCATATAATTAATCGAAAGTTTATTGTCAAACAATCAGTAAAACATACTAAATTCAAGAAAAACGTAAAAATAATAAAAAAAAAAAAAAAAAAAAAAAAAAAAAAAAAATTAAAATTCTATCATTAGTTTATAAGTCACTTAACGTATGTGAGAAGGAATTATTGAAATAACATCATCTTATAGTTCCATAAATAATGAAGGAAATAAAAAGATTAAGTAAAAATATACGTAAATATAATCGAACATTGTCCGTCCAAGGAAGAACAACAATCAATACCATTTAAGTAATTTCAATGACTTATTACGATTAAAACTACACATGTCCAAACCGACTTATATTCCATGCACTTCGTAAGAAAAAAATCAAGTCTTTAATTATTAATCATTCCACAAATGTCTATATTGCTTAAAATATTATGAATGCACCTTCAATATTATTAATCTGCACTCATCCCCCCCCTCTTCCAATCAGCTCATGCAAATCAATTAAATTTACTTAAGTCAAAATCTTAATATGCACAATACACATTATTCCTCCTTGGCTCGGTAAATAGTGTATCAAATTGTATGAAAGACTTTTTGAAAAATGTTCAACTATGTAATGAAGCACAAAATCTATCCCTTTATTCCGTATAACTTCGAAGAAATTATTATTCTAATTGAACGGTAGATTAAGTAAAATTGATATCTAAACATTCATTCCCTATTTGAATGGGGCGCCGTGGCTCTGCAAGCACTATTATTACATTCACGAGGAGTACTTATGGGGGAATTGTGAAACGCAACTGTCTCTTATACCACATACAGCGATTAACTCTCATCATTAATTAAGTCGCACGTCATTCTCTATTTTGATTTTATTTAATGTCCCATCATGCATCACTAATGGGACTTCCGAATCCTCCTCAACAATTCTCACAATCAGCATAGTAAAAGCACAGCTTCCGCGAGCTCCTTAACTCTACGTTACACAGTTCGACAAACAGTTGAAGTAAGCACTGATTCGCACTCTCTCACGCACGACAAAAATAAATGGCGTTTCTCTATCGCTTACATCGGTACTTGAGCTCCGGCGACTCATCCCTCGTCGGGCCCAGCGAAGTTCTGGCACACGCGAGCGCCGAGGCGAACAACCTGCCGCTTCCAATGACGAGAGATAAAGATAGAGAAAGAGAGTTAGAGATAGTGAGTTAGAGAGAGGAGGAGCGGGGAGGCTAAAGAGCCAGAGACCAATAGAGACCGATGGTAATATAGAGAGAATGAGAGATATAGATAGATGGTGTGAGAGTGAGGGAGAGCGGGAGGGTGGGAGGATGACAGAGAGAGAGAGAGAGAGAGAGAGAGAGAGAGTGTGTGTGTGTGTGTGTGTGTGTGTGTACGTGTGTGTACGTGTGTGTACGTGTGTGAGTCGGTGAGTCGGTGAGTGGGTGAGTGAGTGAGTGAGTGAGTGAGTGAGCGCGCGCGTGTGTGTGTGTGTGTGTGCGCGCGCGCGAGCGAGCGACTGATTGAATAGATACTGAAAGAAAAGAGAAAAGAGGAGAGGATTTAGAAGCGCCTCATCGGGGCCCGTCAACCGAAAAAACTCGCGACGGCGCTGCTGGCCCAGGCGGCGTGACGTATTTGCCCGACGGAAACCGACTGAGGTGGTACGCGTACACGGGGCCGATACACCGGCGCGCCGAGCCTACGAGTCGCCGTCCCACTGACCTACTATCGGCCCCCGGGCCCTCCTACTGCCTTTCCCCCTCCTTAAGGACGCCTCGGGCCTGGGGCCGCACGCGCTTATCCCTCTGCTCGGCGCCCCGCTCCGTCGAACATCCCGTCCCTCCTAACCCTACCCCTCCCTCGACCGCCCAACGAGTATCCTCGACCCTACCACGTCGCTCTTTTCTCTTTCTCAGTCGGTATCTCCGCACAGCTCGCGCATCGTTTGTCCGCCCCTCTCCCTCGGTCCCTCCTCGCAACCCTGTCGCTCGCTCTTTTCGTACGCTGAAAAAAAGGAATTTCCTTTGACGAAAGTATAATTCACTTGTTCGTGGATGGATGGAGCCGTCCCCGTACTCGCGGTGTCGGCTGCGTCTGTCGGCCAAGAAGAGGGACGGAGGTGGGTGGACCGCCACGGCCTTTTTTGGCCTTTTCATGGAAGCGCGGATTTCTCTTTTTGAGCACTGAG